CATGGCGACCACTTTGACTCCTATCCGTCGATTTGGCGCTCGTGCGCTCGAAGATGGCTTATATAGCCTATCTTCGCGGCAAAACTCCTTGCGCATTGAGGGCACGTAAGGACGCCGTTCTCATAATTATAGGTTATGGCAGCAGGTGGGCGGGCCTTCAACTGGTCGCGTTTGTAATCAAGGTCAGCTTTACTCTGGTCCTCGAACTCGCGTACTTTGCTGTTCACCATCCTGCGCCATTCTGGCCGCTGTGCTGCCAAGCGCTCCCATTGAGAGGGCTCTATATCACATCTCTTCATGTGTCGTTTCACGTCATTCTTGTACCGCAGGAGCTGTCCGCCAATTTACTATTAAGAACGAATCAGATTTGTTTCCCTACTTATTCGCTGATAGCCTAGGGGGCTATTTCAGTTACGCTCTGACGGCTAAATAAACTCTCTTAACCTAAAGAGAATTCGCTAACAGTAATGCTAGCAAGAGTAGTGCTTTGCAGAATCTACTACCGAATCGGAATCGCGACCCACTGAGAAGATCCGACGAGAAACTCAGTGGGCTGTGTCTATGGGTTAATTTACTCGTCGAGCCCTTTGTCGCAAGCGGATCGGACGGTGACGGTGATCGGTGCTTGAGGTACCTAAAAGCAACGTTAATGGATCGGAAGGATCCGTAATGACATGTTTAGGGCGACGTCGACTGTTTACCATTCAGTGCACAGGATCGGAAATGTAATTTCCGGCAGTCACGACAAGTGGGTTTTCGTGTCGTACCGCCTTCTCAAAGTGGCGCAATGATGCCGACTGTAAATACTTACTGACTGAGTCAAGCTCCAGGTCATCATGGAGATCCACATTCCTTAGAAACCATGGTGCTCCGACGGCTATCCCGCAAAAACGGGATTGAATGACTTGAAGGGGTTTCAAGTTGGTGCGGGCCGCGTGAGCGAACACTACGCTTGCATAGGTCATGAAATTCTGAACTACAGTAATACGTACTCAACAAATGTTCACGATTGACTTCCACGGTGAAGGAATAACATCGTGTAATAAAAATGAAACCCGCAAAATTATAATTTGCGTAATTACTGGTGGTAGGACCTCTTGTGAGTCCGCGCGGGTGGGTACCACCACCCTGCCTATTTCTGCCGTGAAGCAGTAATGCGTTTCGGTTTGAAGGGTGTGGCAGCCGTTGTAACTATACTTGAGACCTGAGAACTTGTATCTCAAGGTGGGTGGCGCATTTACGTTGTGGATGTCTATGGGCTCCAGTAACCACTTAACACCAGGTGGGCTGTGAGCTCGTCCACCCATCTAAGCAATAAAAAAAAAAACAGCAAATCATTGAAAACACATAAACGCGTAAAAGAAAATTAAGCTTTAATGAATTTTAACCTTGAATTACCAATTATTATTTTGTTACTCCGTTAAAGAGAAATGTTTTAACATTTTTAATACCTATATACTATACACATAATGTTTTGTTTAAAAAAAAGATTTAAAATCGTATATACGCGGTAACTGACTCTCTGATGCTTAGTTACTGGCGCCATTTTATTTCAATTCGATTCAGTCAAGATACGTGATGCGGTCGGAGTTTTTAACTCGAATCTTTGAGTTTCTCGCCGGACTTACTGTTTTTCTCTTTACAGGTGGTAGGACCACTTGTGAGTCCGCACGGGTAGGTACCTTGCCTATTTCTGCCGTGAAGCAGTAACGCGTTTCGGCTTGAAGGGTGGGGCAGCCGTTGTAACTATACTGAGACCTTAGAACTTATGTCTCAAGGTAGGTGGCGCATTTACGTTGTAGATGTCTATGTGCTCCAGTAACCACTTAACACCAGGTGGGCTGTGAGATCGTCACCCATTTAAGCTATAAAAGAAAAAAATCTAAGTAATCAAAGCGCATGCGCTCTATACACCGATTCTAAAAATAGATATTTCATGATTTCCCTCAAAATTTGTTTTAATAAAATTCCAACCAATCATCGCTTTCGTGAGAATCCTCAATTTATCTAACGAAGTCCCGTAAATAAACATCAGCTTGAATATCGTCTAAAATGATCTTTGAAGCCTTAAGAGATTCATTCGAAAGTTCCAGAGTTATCGAAGATTCGACTTGTTTTATTTAAGAACGGAACTGTTAGGGAGCTTGCAAAGGAAGCGACGTTTCGGGACAAGCTCCGTGTTTGTTATTACGAACAATGCGAGACTTAATTTCGAATTTGAAAACGCTGTATTAATTTTAATTAAAGATGTTATGATTGTGTTATATTAAAACGTGCTTCAATTTGCAGTTAACAGAGGTGTTACTGGTCGGAACAACACAAAAGTTTGGTATTTTAATCTATCTATATATATAAAAGAAAGTCGTGTTAGTTACACTATTTATAACTCAAGAACGACTGAACTGATTTGGCTGAAAATTGGTGGGTAGCTAGCTTAGAACCAGGAGAAGGAAATGGGATACTTTTTATCACGTTCCCGTGGGACGTGACATAAAACGTACTATAAGAAAACGCAACTAATATGGAATAACAAAACGCATTTGACAGATAAACGTAATGTAGTCTATGGTTAATTATAGTAGAATTTTGAAGTTGACTGGTTGATGTGTTTGTTTCGAGTTTCTATTCGCTTATTGTGCCGAGATAGGTAATCATTAAGAAAGCCATGTCGCGACCAACACGATCACATCTTTTCCGACGAAGCCGTAATGCAAGGATTCGAAATATTGCGAGTGAAAGAACTAAAGAAGAACAAGAAATAAAATTATAATAATAATGATAACAACTAAAATACATGTCCAATAAAGAATCATTAAAATACTTGCTTTTTTTATTTACATTAATTATCCAAATCAAAAATTTACCTTGATAAAATCAAAAGTCTACGCATTTATTGCCTCTAAGGCAGCACAAAGTTCGCCGGGTCAGATAGTAGGTATATATATAAAAATGAATTGCTGTTCGTTAGTCTCGCTAAAACTCGAAAACGGCTGGACCGATTTGGCTGATTTTGGTCTTGAATTATTTGTGGAAGTCCAGAGAAGGTTTAAAAGGTAGGTGAATATGAAAATGCTCGGAATTAAATAAAAAAAAACAATTTTGTTTTTCCCTTTGTTTGTCCTATGTTTATTTTATACGAAAGTTTAGCTATTTTATTTATCGATTGAGGCACTACGAAGTTTGTCGGGTCAGCTAGTATATAATAAAAAATGGTAGATTCTGCGAAGCACTGCTCTTGCTAGGGCTACTATTAACAAATTCTTTCAGGTTGAGCCCGTGAGCTCACCTACCAGTCCGAGCTTAGCTGGAATAACCCCATATATTATAATTATTATAATAATACTAGCTGTACCCGTCCGCTTCGCTGGGCATTTAAATTTATATTATTATTTCTCGCCTCCACAAAGATTCTCATTATTAACGCCCCCGCAACTGGTGTAGGGAGTCCAACACTCATATAAATATTAGCCTATCCATTATGTAGGTCCATGTATTTTCTACATGAATACCAAGCTTAAAGTCAATCGGATGCATGGTTCAGTAGTTATAACGGAACATCCGTAAAAACCACTGTAGATTTATATATTAGTACTAGACTAGTGGTCCCGCAGTAGTCGAAATTCGAATATAATTAATTGGAATTGTAAGTTTGTAAACTATTATGATTGTATTTTATACTTCTATAATCACAAATTTCGCCAAGACTACACCATAAAAAATATTAACAAAGACAAACAATATTTAATCTATTCTCAATTTGACAACAGGCGTCAAGAACAAAAGTTTGACAATAAATAGTATGCATGCATGTGTGCGTCAAATAGATGGTATGTAGTGTGTGTAATGTTTTCTTTATTGATTTAATGTATCTTTTATGCATTATTTTAAAAAAATATTAGCATTGTGCACTTCTTCTCTATATTCTCTATAAGTGTGGAAAATTTCATGCTCCTCCGTCCGCGCAATATTCGTAAAAAGGGATACAAAGTTTTTGCTTCACGTATTAATATATAGATGATGACCGAGTTTTTTTTTTTGATAACGCCATCTTGTTGTGTCTTTTAAGCGCTTAGTTTGAAATAGTATTATTATTCGACAATAGATGTCGGGAAGAGTTGATTATTGAAAACACGAATAAAATAACATTTTCTGAAAATAAATCGTAGCTAGATCGATTTATCGCCCCCGAAATCCCCTGTATACTAAATTTTATGAAAATCGTTGGAGCCGTTTCCGAGATTCAGATTATATACATATATATTAATATACAAGAATTGCTCGTTTAAAGGTATAAAATAGATTATAGTTCACGTCAATTTACACTGATGACGTCACTAATGACGTTTTTCATGTGCAAACGTCACATACGAATAGGAAATGCTGAATTAATTATTAACGAGAGCTGTGAATTATTCAAGACCAGTTAGTGCAGTTCTGATTTCAGAATTAACCATTAGCTACGACTTAAATTATGAATTATCTCCAATTGGGTCGGTTTATGCAGTGCCAGCGTGCCTGCCACATGTATATGTCACAATTGGCTACTTGTAGGCAATATTTTTTTATTTTATTATTATTGCTTAGATGGGTGGACGAGCTCAAAGCCCACCCACCTGGTGTTACTGGAGTTCATAGACGTCTACAGCGTAAATTCGCCACCCATCTTGAGATATGAGTTCGAATCCCGCAGCCATGCATCCTTTTTTGTCTTACAATTACTTAAATCATGGTCACGGATGATTTCCACGAAGAATTAATAATAATACTGAGCCTGTGAGCCTGCAAGGGTAGGTACTACCATCCTGCTTATTTCTGCCGTAAAGCATTCCGGTATCAAGGGTGGTACAGCCTTTTTACCATACAATTGAGACTTACAATCAAGAGTCGCGGTTGCATTCACAATGCTATTATAACTACGAGTGCCGGCATCAACTTAACACCGGATGCATCTAAATATCATTTCCTTGACTACGTAATAAATTGTTTTTAAAAAAGATTACCTGTACAGCATTCTCTCCTGTCTATCGGCTTCCACATAAATCCTGTAATACATGAACAACATAATCACACCGGGAATCCAGAAACTTATACTGCTCGATATCACTGCGTACACTTTGTTGACTGTGAAACTGCACACTTTCGGGTAGCGTCTTCTGAAGTCCAAATGATCCTCGGTTGTGTACCAACCCATGAAGATCGGTAGAAACGAGACCAGCGCCGGACTGCACCAAACCACAGCCAACATTATGCCGAGCTTGGCCGTGGTCATAATTAACGGGTAGTCCAATGGCTGGACGATTGCGTAGTATCTGTCGACACTGATGCAGCACAAATGAAGAATGCTCGCCGACGAGAAGTACACGTCCAACGAATTCCAAACGTCGCACATGAAATAGCCAAATAACCATTCCCCGTTGGTGATCTCCACGCTGAAGTTGAAGCACATCGCCCAAATAGCGACCAACATATCAGCCAAAGCCAGCGACACGACAAAATAGTTCGTTATCACCCGCAACTTCCTGTGTCTCATAACCGATACTATAACCAACAGATTGCCGAATATCGCTGCCAATATTATGAACAGCATTATCATGCATTTTAGTATGATTAAAAACACAATTAGTGGATCGTCTTCGAACTGATTCGAGTAAACCAAGTCATTGGTCGTTAAGTTCACTTCCAGCGTCCTGTTCACGTAAGTGTCCGTTAGATACATGGATGTGGATAGATCTTGCAGGTCCGCTGTGAAGTTGCCCAGTTCAAGGCTGAATACGACTTCCAGTTTCATTGTTCACATTTTGTTGGAACTTTAAGTGGTCTGTCGAAATTTTCGTCTCGAAATCTGTTTTGTTCTGTCGTCTGCCATTGCGCCGTGGATCTGTGAACAATTGATCAGATTTAGATTTGGACAATAGACTTTTCGGGGCTTTCGGTTTTTGCGATTGAGTTTTGGGAGCTTTAAAACCGTAAGATGGGTACGTATGAAAAGATTTTGGAACGGAGCGTGAGTGTAAGGGAAAGAAAATGGTAAGGAAGTAAGAAAACAATACAAAGGGAAAAAGAAAAATGGCGAGGACTGTTGAATGAGCGAGTGTGAAAAAAGTGTTGATTCATTTTTATTTATTTTAGTAACAGGAAAGACTTGGGACGACAACAATAAAAGTTATAAGAATCGCGTGATTGATTAAAATCACGCAGAAACATCGATATCTCAACCTTTAGATTATAAAGTTTTATATCAAAATTCAAAAAGTCTGGGTATGTCTGATTGTTTCATTCATAGCCACAATTTAATATACTGATGAAACCTTGTCAAGAACGGCTGTTATTAGAAAAATATCGTTTTTATTATAACTGTCTATAGTATTTTGATTGACCTAAGTTAAAAGTATTAGGACAGCAACCCTCCTACCAGTGGTAGGGGATCTTCTGAGAACACACTGCTATGTCCGACCACCCGGCTTATTTTAATTAAGCCGTAATGCCTTCCGGTTTGGAACAGCCCTTATAATATACAATTGAGGCTAAGCCTCATGTCTCAAGGTGCGTAACGCAATTCATGTCCGGTCTCCGGTAACTACGTAAGCACAGACGGGCCGTGGGCTCGTCCACTCGTATGTGTAATGAAAATAGATAATGAATTTTTCATTATTTTTTTATACTTCCTGTAAAATCTATCTATCTAATATATAAAATTCTCGTGTCACAGTTTTCGTTGCCATACTCCTCCGAAACGGCTTGACCGATTTTGATGAAATTTTTTGTGCTTATCCGGTATCTATGAGAATCGGCCAACATCTATTTTTCATCCCCCTAAATGTTAGGGGTAGTCCACCCCTAAATTTTTTTATTTATTTTTTAGACAACATTTTTAATTTCTATTTTTTTATGATACAACATACAAAAATACATACAANCAAATCGAAATATCACTCTCGCATTTTACTGGTGGTAGGACCTCTTGTGAGTCCGCACGGGTAGGTACCACCGCCCCGCCTATTTCTGCCGTGAAGCAGTAATGCGTTTCGGTTTGAAGGGTGGGGCAGCCGTTGTAACTATACTGAGACCTTAGAACTTATATCTCAAGGTGTGTGGCGCATTTACATTGTAGATGTCTATGGGTTCCAGTAACCACTTAACACCGGGTGGGCTGTGAGCTCGTCCACACACCTAGGCAATAAAAAATAAAAAAAATAAAAAATAATCCTAAGCTAAGGATGTGAAGTCAGAACATTTTATCACGTCAAACGATCTAAGATATTGGAAACGAGATCCGAACGAATTCAACTGTGCGAAATTGAAAGATAAAACGTGTTTTTTGATTTACGAAGCGTTTTTTTCCTTTGTTTTGTGTTGTTTTTTTTTTCTCTTCCCTCCAGAGTAAATTGAAAATTTGATTGCGATAAATAAATAATATCGCTACTTACTTTTTATCGTTCATTTTTAAACGTACGACTGTTTAAGTTTCCCATTTTTTCGAACCTCTCTATGGAGTTGGTTCATGGACATCAGTAGCGGTAGAACACAGCCAAACTGTTCAAGATACTTGTCAAACCTCGTCTGAAGATAGATATGTTTAAGCGCTTAAGAAACACCGTTGAAGAGATCTCATTTCAGAGCCGACCATGGCAAATTTGTTCCTTTTTTTCCCTATCTTTGCTGAGAGCCTTGATATGCTATTTCAGCTATATCCTAGCGTGTAGGTAAGCTCTCGGAGCTAAAACCGGAAGTGCTGCTAACACTGGCCTTAGCAAGAGCCGTATTCCGCACCGAATCGGAAACGCGACCCACTGAGAAAATCCGGCGAGAAACTCAGTGGCCTGTGACTATGGGTTAATTTACTCGTCGAGCCCTTCGTCGCAAGCGACGGGTTCGACGAGAACGATGACCGGGCCCATACCACAATAACCTATAATAAATACAGTAAATTACAATAAGGTGTTTGTTTCAAATAAATGAATAGAAAACTAAATTGTGACATCAAAAAATGTCGACCTCGAAATCAAACCCTAAAGCCAATTCATGCGAAATCCCTAAAGGGTTTTTTCGTAAGCGAACGTGCCCGTTCTAACAACTCCCGGGTTGTGATTCCCGTGTAATGAGAAATACGAGCGTGCGACACGTGGGTTGTTTTTTATGACAGCCTAATCTGAATGTTGTCGTTGATTTAAAACTTAATCTACACTTAATGAAATACGTACTCAAAAAATGTTCACGATTGACTTCCACGGTGAAGGAATAACATCGTGTAATTAAAATGAAACCCGCAAAATTATAATGTGCGTAATTACTGGTGGTAGGACCACTTGTGAGTCCGCGCGGGTGGGTACCACCGCCCCGCCTATTTCTGCCGTGAAGCAATAATGCGTTTCGGTTTGAAGGGTGGGGCAGCCGTTGTAACTATACTCAGATCTTAGAGCTTATATCTCAAGGTTGGTGGCGCATTCACGTCGTAGATGTCCATGGGCTCCAGTAACCACTTAACACCAGGTGGGCTGTGAGCTCGTCCGCCCATCTAAGCAATAAAAAAAAAAAAAAAAGGTTTTTAATTGAACTTCAATTAGATTAACTCCTTTTTTTATTTATTGCTTTGATGGATGGACGAGCTCACAGCCTATCTGGTGTTATGTGATTACTAGAGCCCATACACAAACCCGCAAAATTATAATTTGCGTAATTACTGGTGGTAGGACATCTTGAGAGACCGCGCGGTTAGGTACCACCGCCCTGCCTATTTCTGCCGTGAAGCAGTAATGCGTTTCGGCTTGAAGAGTGGGGCAGCCGTTGTAACTATACTTGAGACCTTAGAACTTGTATCTCAAGGTGGGTAGCGCATTTACGTTGTGGATGTCTATGGGCTTCAGTAACCACTTAACACCAGGTGGGCTGTGAGCTCGTCCACCCACCTAAGCAATAAAAATAAAAAAAAATCATAACAAACTTAAAGCGTACTTGAAAGACTTTCGATCCCACAAAAACACCTTGTATGTTCTAATTTTTCTTTGCCAAAGAAAAGTAGCTTTTGTAGCAAAGCCGTAACAGTTTATTATTGATTTTATATAACGTGATATTCGACTTTTTAGTTCAGACATCGGGCAATAGTTGGGAATATCCAAAAATATAGTACGACAAAAAAAGACTGACCCAAAAAAATTTGAAAAACAAGACATTAAATCTAGAACTCTATTTATCCGGGTCAATAGTATTATCAACTTCATTCGAGACATTGCCCCGGGAAACGCTTCCGCCATTATTCTCCAGTAATACACAACTGTTCTTACTTTTACAAGGAAAAGTTTGGTTTTATTCAGTGTAAGTATTGTATGGTGCGTGAGGCCATAAGGCGAGCGATTTTAAATACTAAATAATTTTTCCTGTGATTAAAATGCTAGCAGTATACTTTATTATGACTTTAGATGAGCCAAACTAGATTAGATTAGTGGTTCCAAGAATCCCAACAAACCCAACGGCAGAGTGGGTGTCGGCGCTATCCTTGAGAAATTTGGTGGAAAGTCAATATTATAATCCCTACTTTTCAAACAAGATAATAACATGAAATTCGGATCAAAATAGCTGAGTTGTTATTTATTTATTTATCGTATGGCATTCGTTTACACTGCGTGGTTATAATTGAAATTTACAGTTTGTGGTTAGGGTTTTATAATTGACGCAGTGTAGTTGGAACCGGGAGATCCTCAGGAGGACAGTTCGGTTGCCAGGTTGTTGCACTATTAGCACCACCCAGGGGTCACGTGTAGGGTAGCGGAGGGTAATCTCCTACGGACGTTGTGCAACTTCGACCCCGACCGACCGATTGTGGAATAGACTCTTGCGAGCCTACTATAAGATAATCCTATAAATATAATAATATGTAAAGAAAAACCTTTATCATTTAAAAACCTTTAAAACTCTTTTAGTTTTAAAAAAAGATTTTTCTTGGACGGAATCACTCACCTGTCTACCATTCAGTGAAAGAAATAGTTTTGTATTTTATAATAATACTGTTTAAAATATTAATTTAAAAATAGATTAAGGCTATTAAATAACAGAAAAATCAATTTAGTATTTTATTGTTAATTCATTCTGGAGTATTCCGTACCATTATATATATTATTATGTACATCACATTACTGTGATCAAATTGTCAATATTTTAGATTACTTTTAATTCGTCACTGATCTTTGCAGAGATTGCCATTTTACTTTCTAGAGATCCTAATTCATGTATCATGTGGCGCGGGGATGAGCTCTCCTCAAAATTTTCCTCGATTTGACATGCTCCTCAATAAAGGCGCTACAAAAGCTGATTGCCTGAGGGATTACAGTCCGTATGCTTATCAATCTTAAGAGTTAACAAAAACGAATAATAATATATTCCCACCTGTCCTGCGGCCGCGTCGGCTATCTCCACAATGAACAGTACAATGAGAGCAAAAAGTTTTAATGAACACAGAATAATACCGTACGAAAATAAAAATAAAGGCCGCATTTATTTTTACTGTCCGAACCGCTGATTCATTCCACCATTTTCGAAGGGTATTTCGTGATAGTTTTTTTTTTCAAAGGCCCACCTCACGATGTCTGCGAAAACGTATTATTATATCTGGCAGTAGATTTATGATGTCCTTGACTTTAGGATTTATTTCTTCGAAATTCTAGACTGTTCTGGACGATTCCAGGGAGGTCGTCGAACTCAAGCTTGACGATTTTATTTGAAGAAAACCTGATGTCTGGAAAGTTAAATCGGTTTTTTCGAGAATAGAGATTATCCTGGTTGATCTTAATTGATGCATGTAAATTTTATTAGCTGAGTTAAAAAAAAACTGTTTTTTTAATTGGCTTATTAATTTGACTATCGTGATGTCGCACGTGTTAGATA